TTCAAGCCGTTCTCCAAACGTAAATTGGTTTTGAAGTCGATGTCTTTCAAGTGGTTGCACAATGGCGCGAACAGGTAGACGAATAGCTGTCAAAAATTAATACATTATTAGCTATTTATAATCGCTAAATAAACCGTTCAGAACACAAATCGATTAACCCCATAAAACAAAAAGTTGAGAAATTCAATCAAAATGACCTCTGAAATTAATTATTTATTAAAAGTTATAAATATAAGAAGTTATGACTAAACCAAATGCTTTGACACTTAAACTTAAGATTTTTCAAAAAGTGGAGTTAATCGATTTGTCCAGTGAACGGCTCAAGTATCAGCGAAAGAAACAGAAACTACTTACGCTCATAGTGGGCACAGAAAATAAATAATAAAAAGGATTTCCAGGGTCGGTTTCAGATTCGGAGCATTCTTCGGCGGAGTCGAGTAGTATCCAATGAAGAATGTAAAGTAGCGTCGTTTCCATAGCTCCGAGTGTTTGAAAATCCTTCCTTAAAGATTAAGGGAAGCGATTCTCGCGCGAAAGAGAAAATAGACAAATTTCATAGAAAAGAGGTACAAAAGCGGGCAACTCACCTATTGTGCAGAAGATTGGCCGCGGCATGGAGAACGTAGGGAAGAGCGGTTTGGATCAAATGCCATCGTGGCACATTGCCCAGTATTACGCTCAAAGAGGGTGTCAAATCGTTGTGAAGATTCTGAACCAACACCTTCTCGAGCGACTGCGAGCAAAAGTGCCAAGGTTACTTAAACTGTTCGTCTTTTGTTAGAGTTAATTGTTTCAGCCTCGAGTTAATATGATAACGATTAAAGCATGAAATCTCTAAAGGAAAATTTTATTTCTTATACTATAAATTTTAGGTTAAAATATCATTTACTATACCGTTATTTTATTTATTGCATTACATTTGAGCGTTAAAAAATATTTTTCAACTATTTAAAATAATGACAACAATTTACATGTATCGTATAAATATACATGTACGCTTCTGAATAATTTGTTAAACTGAATATTCTATATTGATTCGTTAAAGAACTGTCCATTCACTCAGCTAAATTGTGGAGGTGGTCAGTTATGCACAAATTATCGTACACGTGACGTACGATATCAAGTAGGACATCTTTCAATAGGTCGTTCAATTGATTACTCGAGAAACTGACATAAGATCAACCAGCTAATTAGATCAATAGGTTTAATTAGATTATAACCAATTATTCCTCCCGATACATTTATACTGAATTGTTGCTGGTGCCATTAGTTACCGCACTCGCCGTACGCTGAAACAATCATGGTGTCTAGCCCCTGTAGAATGATATACTTGTATTGCTCGAATACTAACCGTGCAAGCTTCCTTCGTCTCCTGCGTATGCATTGAAATACAGTAAATTGAAATTAATATTTAGTAGTGTAAAGAATAGTAGAAGGAATATTTCGAAGTAGTAAGAAAGTTAGAAAAAGGAGTAAAAGAAGTACTTGCGACAATACTACGATGCAAAGCTATAGTCATAGTCATAGTCAGTTAATGCTGAAATTGTTTTACAATTTTCTAGAATATCAAAATTGCTTATGGTTACTATATACAGGATTACCTACTCAATGTAGCTCGTGAAAAGGAATACTTCACGAGGTACAAAACTCCTGTACAAAACTAGATGAAAGAACCATGAATATTACTTGTTACTAAAAACAATTATAATTAAACGATGTAAGAATTATTTGTAACGAATATGCTACATTAGAGCTCAAAGATAGATTATTATAAAACTTGCAGACAGATATAGAACGGAAGAGCAGATGCTAAAAGGGTTTCGTAGTTTTCTACATAGATTCACTGGTTTAGACAGTCAAAGTGGTTCAAAATAAAATCTTCTTTAAAATTTTATTCTGAGGAATGATCACAATTAATATTGCAAAGTTTCACTGTTACGAAGCAATTTGACTGCCTTGTGTCTTCATATTTGGTATCGATAACATGCAAAGCAGTAATAGGTAATATTTTCTGTAAATGGCAAGCTGTTTCTAGAATTTTTATTAGAATAATCAGGAAGTGAATGTACAATTGTGCAAGTAGGGTTGCAAGCACCAGGGCAAGCAGACATCAGGCTTAGCGAACTTACATGATGGCCTGGGGCGTGTTGACAGAACTGCAGGTGACACGTGGAGGCAGCAGCGTACAGGAGGTCACTTTGTTAGTGCAGGTCGGGTAGGTATTGGAAAACGAAGGACTGATAGGATATGGTTGATAAGGATCTTTGCAATACATGAAATCCCAAGAAATCGAATTCTATGTTTCACATTTCACTTTTGAATGTATTCGCCATGTTTCGATCTTTAAACTATATCTTTAGATTCCATGAGTGACTTCTAATAAGATTTCTAATAAAAAGGACAACAAACTTGTCACGGACAACCACGAAAGCAAATAGACCGGACAGGAGGATACATGATCCGCCCATTTCTTAATGGAGCAGGAAGTATGCCTATAATTTGGTAGGTTTTCGATCAAGTTACTGACACAACATGGTACCGGGGTCACCATTGTATCGTGAGGAAAATAATACCTTGAAATAAGTGAATATAAAAAAAGTAAAATAATATAATTGCTTCAGAAAGTTGTATCTTAATTTTAATTTGCATTTTCCAAATCGGACGAGGAAGCGTTAATATCAAATTACTTATGAGCGTCAGTGTCTCAGATTTTCACACTATGACACTAATCTTTCGTATCCCGTACACATTCACACACACACACACACACATACACATGTCCATCTTTTGCTTTTTCTCCCAACTCAAGGAATATTCGTGAAACTCTAAGTGTCAATTTTTACCGTGCATGATGCCTCGTGTAGCCTTCCCAATTTCGCACGAATGAATGGTCTGCGAACACAAATTTCATCATTATGTAAAGTCAGACTGAATTGATTAAGTAAATTGTGAAATGTCATGGGCAAAGATCAATAGGATGAAATTTACGATATTATCGTCTAAAATATTTCCTCTACGTTTAGTTTAGTTTTCCTGGTCTAATATACTTCTAAAATGACTTTAATCATCTACGAATCAAGGCCAGCTTTGTTTCTTTCACCTTGTCAGTTTCAATCAGTATAGTATTCGATTGTAATATTGTCGAAATAATCGGAATGAAGTGCATTAACGAAGAAAACGTTGAAATGATTTTAAAACGTGGAGACTGCAACCGAAATGCTGCACAAGCAAGATTATTTTGAAATATAAGAATCAACCACCCGTTTTGAAATTATTGGAAGTAGATTCGAAAAATGGGAAGATACCATCGAAAACTCGAGTTCAAAACAAAACGAATATTGCTTGAAAATCGTTTACGCATCATCATCGTTGACCTTGAATCGCCTTCAATTGTAGATCAATCAATTTCACTAACAGCTAAAGAGTCAGATGCCTCATTCCGAGGAATATTGTACCTCAATTGTCGCCAAAGGAACATCTGAACCGGAATGGGCAAAGCATGCTCCTGGAGGTTCCCGTCAACGGACCGTCGTTTATCCATGTTCTTGGCGTAATCGTCTAAAACCATTTTCAACGCTCACACCATCCGCTCGAAGCTCGAATTATAGGAATGAGAAATAAACGGGAGAATCCTACCATACGATCGACGGAAAAACGATTTATTGTTTAGAACGTCGCCACGTGTTTCACCTGCCAGTGAAAAATGTACTTCCCTTCAGGTCCCAGCGACATCAGCCGGTTTTTCCGCGTTGCGATGAGCACACATCGACGGCCTGACCCTGACACCCGATAAATCAATTTCCCCTCAATGTTGTAACAGGATGTCTCCGATTCGATCGGAAATGGAACGTTCGCTCCGTACCAAAACACCCATATCCCCGCTCGGCCAGCTCGATTATTTAGATACAATGCTAAGGGTTTGCAGTCAACGATACTGATTCCCCTCGAACGAAGCTGTTCACGCACTGTCGGGGTTCCTTGGGAAATTCGAGGCACGCATATTTCGATAGGATCTGCAGCGTCGCCACGGATGCAACGAGAAGCAGCACCGTGCAAGGACAGGATCACGTGCCACTCGGCCTAGTGACACAGTTGCATCGTTCTCGTTGGGGATGAACACGCCGGAATGGTGGATGCACCACCGCTGTAGGATCGTGAGTAACTGAAAGACACGGCGGACGTAACGCTGTTGGAAAGGATGGGAATGCGCGCGCTACTCTCGGAAAATCCAATGCGCCGGTCGTTCCATCGATCAGCCCCAGGAATCTGCTCGCTGGACCACCCCCACCTTGCCAGGAGAGACCCACCCTTCCAACGGCACGTCCCTACCAACCCACTTTGCCGACGAGCCCACCCTGATTCCGCGAAATGCACCCAAACACGATGAACCGATGTTACAGGCCATTGTGCGAAACAATGCTTCTGGTAATTCACGCGATCATTGGTGGGGGAAATAAAATGCAGCCGGGGGTGGATAATTCAAGCATCCATGGGTCGAAGGCCTTTGTAAATGGAAGCTTGTAGTTACCTCCTTTTGTACAGGTTTAGTGATACGAATAGTGAGCAGATTTTAGCGCAAAGTTGCGCAATATATAGTCAGTCCCATAAATATTCGTACCTTCTATGTTTATTGAAGAAATTTGTCTAAATTAAATGATAGACGTCATTTTTCCAAATAAATTTTTCGTTATAAATATATATATATATACATATCTAAAGTTTATTCGTGTACGTACTTATAATGAAACATTGATTTGGAAGCATCAAAACTATCATTTAATTTAGACTTTCTTCGATACACATAGAAGGTATGAATACTTATGGGACTGTTTGTATACTTGACTTGCACGATTTCATTATTCTCGCAATGGAAGTTATTCAAACAAGTGTATCAAAATCAATAACATTACCTTTTCCCGTCAATAACAGCTACTATGGTAAGGTAACGAGGAAGAAAATAAAATTTACCTACTGAAAAAATGGATCCCACCAACGACTGTCTACTCAGCACACTCGGAGACCACTTCAGTATTACAAACGTCATCATTTCGAACTCTAATAACTTGGCTGGCTCTCTTCAGGTTGTCAAGCTGGCCTTTCTCGGTGGAAACCAGCTGGCTATCGAGAAAGCCCTCGACGTCCCTGAGCGTCATGTCCATCTCGAACACGATCTCGTCGCTGCGCGTTCTTCCCTCGCTCTTTGTTCCGTCGCGGGGAACGGAACTGATCTCTATACACACCTCCGTGACGCCGTCGCCCTTATCGGTTATCCTTTTCGCTTCTCTGTTAATAGCGTTGCAAATATCCCGCCACAGATCTCTCTGACTCTCGTGCAAGTTCTCCACAAAACGCTGGAAAGTCTCCCAGTCCATTCCTTCGGTGTTCTCGAGAATTCGACGATAAAGCGATAACGTGTTCGCTGTTTTCTCGCACCTACTATCCATTATAGTTTTGAAGGAACTCTCGTTGTAATTGATTCTTCTGGTGATATTTCTGAAAGAATCGTTCGAATTATTGCTGGACATGTTCGACAGCTTGGCGCTCGAGTCGTTAGACTTGACGGACTTCGTCGATTTCATCGACGTCAAAGATTTAAAAAGCTGTTTCATCCTAAACTTCTTCCATCTGACGCTTTCAAGTTTCTTGGAAATCTTTGACTTCGTCCCATCGTCGAGGAACTTCTGGTTCGTAAGCTTCGAATTCTCGCTAGGGACATTCGACGTAGTCTGTCCAATTGGAAAAATAAATTTCTCCTGATTCTCTTGACGCCGCGTTTTGTAAGAATTCTCGTTTCGCAAATTACGTTGCTCGTTGAACATCTGCCTAGAGTGTATGGACTTTTCGTCCGACTTGGATGGTCGAGACTCAACGTTTAACCCAAACATGAGATGCTTCGATGCATCTGATCTTTTACGTATCTCCTCGTGAACACTGCTTTCTTTATTCATTCTTTGCGGGGGATTCACCCATTCGCGTATCAGATTCTCTGCAGAGGAGGAACTGAAGGCTGTGGTGTCGCTTTGGCCAGACCGCGCCATGGAGCTCGACGCTTTGGTTAAATTCTCCAGCGAGTCGTTCTCCATTAAACACGAGATGCTTCCAAGTTTTCCACTGTTTTTCGATCCTGTTTTGTATTCGATCCATCGCCAACGCTCTGCGTAATTTTTGGGTAGAGTTTCTCGACCTTCGTGTTTATCCTTGTTGGTCTCTTCTCGTTTGTGCATCCTGTACGGTGACTCTAATTGCGGATTGTAATCTCGACTAGCGTGCAGAGCGAAGGTGTCCATATCGTTGGAGTATTTAGATTGCACCCAAGCTCTATCGTCAAATTGCGAAACGAATTCCTTTTTCTTCGCCTCTGACGGTTCGACGCAGCCGCGTGCCAAATATGCCATTCTATCAATGATCGAAGCCGTGTTAACAGGGCTCGATGATTGATTTTGTTTGATCCCAATTTTTTGCATTGCGTCTAGACATATGTTCGTTCTAGAGTCGTTCAGCCCTGACTTTGATTTTACGTACGAGATGTCGTTTATCACTTTTTCGTCGAATTCGTCGCCACTTTGGCGACTGGTTCGTGGCATTTTATGCTCTTTTTGTTTGTTGGACGACTGAGATGAATTCTTCGTCTGTTCTTGATCGAAGGCTCTCGCACGCAAGATACTGCTTGGAAAATCGACAGTACTACAATTGGAATTAGTTTTCAGTCGTCCAGTCGTTCCAGAGTTCGATTTTCTTTTATCATTTTTTTTTATTTCCAATTGTTCTTCCTCTGAACGGGATAGCTTTGTAATTTGCGAGACGTCGACGCGGTCCTGTGATTCCATTTTAGACGATTTTGCGCTGTCAAGTGCTCGAGTTTTATCTCCTTTCGCATTTCTTTCGCTAGCTGTGCTTTGCATAGTGGGTATTTTTTCTTGCGTTTCGTCACCATTTTCACGCTCGGCAATCATAATCTCAACTTGCTGAAGAATATTTGAACGTGGCTGGTCCCTCTGTTTAAAAGTTAAACTCCCTTCTCTCGAGCTACGGTCTTTGTTGATATTTTTGTGTCGTTTAGAAATAGGACTGAAATTTCTTTGCGTATCGAAACATTTTCTAATTTCTTCCGTTTCTCGTTTCTTTCTGAGACTATTCCTTTCAAATTCTCTGTACATTTTTGCGTCATTGTTCGATATTGCTTGCGTGTTCAGAAAGTAAGAAGTTCTGGGCGGTGATTGTCGCTGCTCGATGGAAACGTTTCTAGACTTCGAGCAACTGATCACTCCACAGTATTTACAGATTTTCATCGATGGATCGCTCGAGAGAATCTGTTCCAATTCTTTGCTGTTGTAGCGACCTATCAAAGCCTGTAATTTAATTAAAGTTTCCTGAAATCGATACGCGAACAGCCAAGCGTTTTCAGAGGACGATCGTTGAAGTAATTCAATAATTTTGTAAACTGCTCCTAATTCAACTAAAGGACCTCGCTCAATGTCCTTGCTAACTAGATTGACGAGAGAGTCGTCCGAATAATTGAAACATTTTTCATCAGTTTTTTCAAACACTTTCCTAATCGATTTTTCCATATCAGAATTGTACGCGTAGTATCTCAAAAGCAGATCGATATCGAATGGTTGATTCACGCTTCGAAGTGAATCTATTTTTTGCTTCGAAGATGGAAAGCACTCGTTTTTAATATTCGATTTCAAGGTTTCAGAATTTTCAATGCTCCTTCGAATGCCATTTCTAACGCGCGAATTGGAATCCTTAAAGCTGTCGCATTCGTGAATAGTACTTAAGGTGTTTGCAGAACGCGCACATTCAATGTCAGAAGTGGGCATTTTTGCAGGGGAATCGATAATTGTCACTTCGACGTACTTGTTTTCATTCATTTTTTGAATATTTTTTCTATTAAACTCTCGAAGTGATTTGAAAAAATATTCTCTTCATAGACTCCATTCTAAATGATTTTTGTTACAATTTAGACTGTAATTATATTTCATTAAACATGTTTGGTAAACGTGGTTTTAATAAATAACCTGTTCAGATGTGAGAGCTCTTTTTTATAACCTGAATATATCAAATATGCGCAGGTTATGTTCGTTGATTGAATACCAGAATTTGATATTCAACTATGTCACAGAATTATTCAGAATTGCACTGCAATGTTTTCAATTAAATTCCACGAAGTATGGAGATAACCCATTTCAAGCAACGTGTTAACGAACCGTCTCTGACAATGTCTCCGACTCTGACGAAAAATCAACATTATTTTAAAAATTCACTTTAGAGTATCAATTATTCGGTGTAAATATTTTACTGGATCCATGTTTGAGTACACTTATAATTTTTTCGTGATAGAAATTGATCGATGATAATAACAAACATGTGTATGCAAGTACGTGACAAATGTCAAGTCTCCGCGTATTTGCCATGCACGTATAAAATATGACAATCGCTTTATGCATACTGACAGCTGCGATTTCACGTTCTTGCCGAGATGAGAATGCCTCAAATAATGGTCGAGGCATTCGCAAAAGGTCTGATTGATAAGATCATGCTGGAAGCTTTCGACACCATGGATCCCAACGACGGTAAATTATTATTATTTTAAATAAACGATGTACACAATTTTTCAAGTATTTAGAAAGTATGCTTTGAGGATTCGTAGAATGCTAACATATGCTTTTAATGTAAGGTCGGTGTGTTTAACACGAGGGTGACTTGTACATTTATTGCCAAAGATATTAATTTTCAATAATTGCAATCAATAAAGAACCGCTGTCAAAGAAATTACGAATGCTGGGTGATAGAGAAGAACCAGCCGATACCCAATCGCAGTCGACGCATGCATCGTTACAAATTCAAGACTCTGAAACCACGGAACTCATAGAGAAGATGGTATGCGGATTGCGTAACTTGCAAATTGGCGATTCAACTTGCGTGCCGTCGCTCTTGTCTAACCTAGAAAAACAGGTAAATCATGAAAAATCATGTTACCTATTTGCAATAAAGAGGAAGTGATAATCGAAATAAATAATAATGTAAAGTAAGTCACAATATCTAAGCTCATAGACCATGTGTGATTTAAGTCACAGAAAAAAAGGATCTTCACCCAGAAATAAACACAATAAAGTTAGAATAAAAATTAGGCGTAACAAAATTCATAAAATCACATCCCAAAGACTAATTCTAGATATTTAACACGTCGAACAGGTGAAGCACGTCGTGTGCACCATCGACAGCGTTTCGACAGCAGAAGCACCCAAGGCAGCAGAGATGACCGTCACTCAGGGTCAAGGCGACGTGCACCAGATAATACATAACGCGGTTATCGAGACGCCAACGGATCCGTCGTATGCTCGCAAGGAAAAGGAGATCCACGACTCGAACGAGATAACCAGAGTGTCGGTCAGCCTGCTCCATCGAATGATAGAGGAACTGGAAACGAAAGGGGACGAAGCCATCGACTTGGATCAAAACGAGTCCGACTCTGTTCGCCAAGAAGGGATCGCAGCTTGGGAGGAAACGGAGGAGCAGTTCATAAGAACCATCGAGAGCGTCGACGAGGAGGGTAACGTTGCTTTCCCATCCGAAAGTAGCTCTAACGATAATGACCACGACGAGCAATTATCAACTTTGTGCCTCGTACACGACAACTGCCTGGAGGAAGTAGTCGTCGAAGAAATAACGTCCTCGCCGCTTCCTGGCCTCTCCTCGTCGGAAATCGAACTCGACGAACGCAACAGCTTCTGCTCTGTCATGAACTCGCAACATCGGAAGAAGAAAGGAATGTTCCATAGAATACGAAAAATGTGGCGAAGAGCTTTCGGCTGCCGAAGGAATTGACGCAACGTCGAATCGTGGTTCCTGTCATCCTTCGACGGGGTTCAGGGACGCATGAGGACTCATCGAGAACGCAGCGTTTCAATGACCAGATGCAGACCTACATTTCGAGAAAGAAATGTCTCGTTAGCCCGCGACAACACGATGAAAATAACTTAGGCAGCTTAGTCATCGGCGGGTCACGGATAAAACGCGCAGCTCGCGTACGCCAAGTCCTCAGGAAGTTATACGAGACATGAAATAGATTCCCCGCGTTCCCGGAGACACCATGCTCCTAAACTAGCAGCCCACATCGGCAAACAATTGTATCTGAAAAATTCCATATAATACAATAACTTTTCTGAGTTGTGCGAACGTCTCTAGTCTCTCGAACGGCGATGTTGCTTAACACATAGACTGATGCTTTTTGATACGCCTCGGGGGGGGGGGGGGCCGGCAATAACTATGCTTTATATAAAATAACATAACTCTGAAAGAAGAATTTTAGAAAATTGTTTTCGTACTACGTAGATACGTAGTTCTAAGTATTTCTAGATAGCCTTCAGGAGGGGTTAAAGTAAGTGATCGAGAAAGAATCAGCGCGAAGTGAGAGACGAGGAAGAGTAATCGTAGCGTGTTTTGTATAGATATAATTTATTATTTAAAACTAAGTAAGGAGCTTTTATTTTTTTTTTTTTTTTTTTTATTATATTTTCTCATTAATTATGATTTTATGATTCGATAGTACTCGTGAATTACTTTAACTTGTTTCGATTTAATGAATCGCTAGTCGTATATATCCTGCAAAATAGATATGACGTAGCATTCGCTTCCAAAGAAATTTATAAAAATTGCAGAATTTTTCAACTTTCACAGAAGATTGACCCTTTAAGGTAGACACGGGAGTAGGGCGAATATCGAAGACATAACAGGCTATAACCGACGTCGAAGGCCGCTTGAAGTATATTTTCGTTTAACGCGTTCAGCCGACGATGCAGATCTGGCAGCCCCGGCATACGAACGCTATCGTTGGAAGCCATTTATCGTAGTAGGAAGCGCAGCTTAACCCGCGATTACCCCTCGAACTGTTTTTGGACCGCGACGTTGCCGATACCCATTTCCTCCGAGCTAAACCTTTCGAGCTGGACCTCCTTGTAATTCTCGTGTGTCGTGACCGAAGCGCCATCTGCAGAAATAAAATGAATAAATTTGGTAACACCCGGTAGCACTTCTGGTTCACGCTTCGTTCCGTTAACACCTAGTCGCACTAGATAGACCACAATGGTAAGTTCGCCACTTTCTTCTCGAATCCTCTATTCCTTTCATTTATTAATATAATTTCATCGTTGCTTTGTTCTTTTTTTATTATTATTGTTTCAAAGTCCTCGGCTCTATCTTGTCTTAAATTTAAATTCCGCGCATTTCTCGAATTAAATACTACATGGTAAATTCAAACTGGAATTTCGAATTTTTAATGGCCGAATTGGCGAGAAATTTTTAACTTACAAAAAATTGATGAAAAATTGTTTTCCTTTACAGGCAGATCTCAGCGCCAAGGATGTCGAAAGTGAGTAAAATATACGGCAAATATCTGACTTGTGCGTACGTGTTTGATCTTGCTTGTGCGACGGAAGTAGGAAATAAAGAACGAGTTAAAAAAAAAATAAACGCCAGTTTTGAGACGATAGTGAAGTATCGTGTGGATCCTGCGAACGATTGTACGCGATAGGAATGATCGATAGTGGAAATTATCCGTGAAGAGTTAAATGTCGCGAGGGTAGTAGCTTAAAGATGGAAGGAAAATGTGAGACCGACGCGTCCCCAGTAAGAAAGTAAAATATCATCGTAGATTAAATTAAATCGTGTGACACTTTCTGTGCGACGACTTAGACGACCTTTCCTAAAAATGAATTTTGTTCAGAATTCGCTAAGTATCCAAGGACAAACACGAAACGTTGAGTACATCAACGTTCCTGTAGTTACGAATTCTATTAAAACGAATCTTGTTCGAAACGCATTGAATATGGTCAATGGACGATAGGAAACATTGATACCTAGACTCAATTTTATTTAGAACGCGTTTAAGGAGTATCGATAAGCGACACAAAATGTTGAATACACTCAATGTTCCTCTACTTCTGACTTTCAGTAAAATCTTATTTGAAATGCATTGAATCTATAGTTACAAGGGACATTCAGTACATCGACATTTCTCTGGTTGTAACTTCCATTAAACCAAATTTAATTTGAAACGCATTGTATATACATCAATAGACATCAAACATTTAATTCTCAGCATTCCTCTAACTGTAACTTCTGTTAAAATGAATTTTGTTTATAAATGTATTAAATGCATACCGGTAGACGTCACGAAACCTTGAATACCTCAACGTTTCTTAAATTGTCACTTCCATTTATTATCGTTGTCAAACTTTCGCCTGTATGAAACACAATCTTCGCGTGTCACGTGACAAACGTATTACGCAATTGCCAGTAACCGGTAAAGCAATGAGGTGTAATCGCCCCGAATGGTTAGCACCATTTCAAAAATAGTTGGTACTCTGTTCTTATATGGCTCGGCGGGGGTAATCTGACCCACTACTTCCACCGGCGAGTTCTTGAATCGGTTGCTGGGTGGGAGCCGCTGCGCCTTAAAATAGAACAATATTTTTGAACCAGGTACGCACGAAGAGCCACGCTTCAGCTGATATCAACCTAGATTTCACGTTTAACATTCTTCGTTTAAAACGACCGTGGAATTCTATGATAATTCGCTTAGTTTCTCGCGATTTCTCAACATCGGAAATTCGTGTAACGTCTTCAAAATAAACGACGAAGAAAATGGTGGCGCCTGATAGATGATATACAACTTCTTATAGCTTAGACGTTACTTAGCACGATCTACACATAAACGACCATCTCTAAATTTATATTATTGGTTTACTAAATCTTGCTGATTCCTGAAATTCGTCTTAATGTTCTGGCTAGTGCACAATAACGACAAAATTATACTTTTTCATTTACGATGCCGATGACCCCATAATAAACTTCAACGTTTTCTTTCCTTTTTTGCTAAATAGAGGCAGAATTCGCCTTTTCCATTTACGATGCCGACGGTTCCAACCAGATCGACGCCGTCGACCTTGGAAACGTCCTTCGAGCCCTCAACCTGAACCCCACGAATGCCACCATAGAGAAACTTGGAGGAACGAAGAAGAAGGGCGAAAAGCTGATGAAACTCGACGAATTCTTACCAATTTATTCCCAGTGCAAAAAGGACAAGGAACAGGGATGCTACGAGGACTTCATCGAGTGTTTGAAACTGTACGACAAACAGGAAAATGGAATGATGCTGGGAGCTGAACTGTCGCACACACTACTTGCGCTGGGTATTAACGTTTTTCATATTTTTATATACAGTTTAGATATACGTGGTCGTTTCAGATTTTTCAAATATCTTTTTTATCGTGACCTGAAAAACATTATCACACCGGGAAACAGCAAACCTCGCTGGTGTAATATAAATTGTCGCGGAGAAGTTTGTATTCTTGACATTGACGTTTGTGAACTTTCAATTCAAGCATAAATGTCGATCGATTTACTGCTCACATTCAAATGTGTTACAATTATAATGAAATACTGACATGGTATAATGTAGACAAATTATTATAAATGTAACACATCTAAAGATGACCAGTAAAGTGCCTCAAAACGTTCATCTTTGAATCGAGAGTCTTCGAACGTGAATAAACAAATTTTATTTACCTAAAAATAAAATTTGCTTCGTCCATTTTCTCTCCCAGCTCAACGCACTTTCGTTTCTATAATCGAACACTTCCTAGAGCTGGCAATGACCCGTACGCGAAATTTAAAATGGCGTAGCGCGAGTAGATGAAGCTAAGTTTAGAAACAATGGCCAACGATCGTTGTACGTGTCCTGATAGGTGAGAAGCTTGCCGAGAACGAAGTGGAACAGGTGCTGAGGGAATGCATGGACCCTGAAGACGAGGATGGCTTCATCCCCTACGCCCGTAAGTATCGTTTCGTGTCCAGGGAGGAGGTACACGCGTCTCGGGATATTCACGAAGACGGAAAGAGTGTTAGATGAGTTGCACCAGCGAGTCACATTAACGTAGAGCATCGTTAGGCCGAAGAGAAGCAGTTTAAAGAGCCGTAGGAAATGCGTTATGCAAGTTTTGGCAGTAGACGTGATTAATTTTGCAAGTAGAAAATCTAAAGCAGCACTCCGCCACCCTACCAACGTTCTGATGTTTCCTAGTTCACAGTACTGGTAGCGTAAATCCTTAGAAAATTTTATACAGCTGCTCTGAATATCTATTCGTATCAAGTTTTAACAATACGTGATTAATTATGCAGTAGAAAATCTAAAACAGCACACCACCACTCTCCAACGACCCTTTGTGTTTCCTCGTTCAAAGTACCGATAGTGTAAACCCTTGAGTAATTTTGTACAATTTCCTAAATTCAAAATATCCAACCCTGTCAAGTTTTGACAATAAATGTGACTCATGTGTCAATAGAAAATGTAAAAAAAGAGTCCTCCATTTTGCCACCATCCCTTATGTTTCTTAGTGCATACTTCTAGTAATGTAAATCCTCGGAGAAACATCCAATCATTTCAAGTTTTATCAGTAAGCGTGACTAATGTAGCAATAGAAAATCTAAAACAACAATCTTCCACCCTCCCAACATCCCCATCGTTCCTAGTGCACAGTACTGGTAGCATAACCTTTGGAGAATTTTATAGAGCTGCTCGATATATTCAGCCATGTCAAGTTTTGGCAGTAGACGTGATTGATTTTGCCGTAGAAAATTTAAAGTAACAGTCCCGCATCCCCTCCAACCATCCCCAATGTTTCCTAGGTCTGGTAGCGTAAGCCCTTGGAGAATTTGACACAGCAGCCCGAACCCGAAACGCCCAGCCGTGTCACGAAAGCGAATAAATCATTCGGGCCCCAGTTTCCCCGTCATTTGATGTCTCCACATATTTTGTGTTCCACAGCATTCTTGAAGAAGATGATGGTGCTATTGTAAGCAAACCGGATGAGAGTGTCACGAAGGTCGTGCTTCGTAAGTACATCCTGTAGAATACGTCTCCATGTGTCGTTTGCCATTGTTTTTCCCTTCTTCTTGTTCTCTTGTTGTTTTTCTGTCATACTTTTGTCTGCAAACTAATACCATTTGACCGCCTTCTCCCCGCCACGCACATCTTGCAAAATATAGGACGCAACGAATCAACCTCCCAGGGATGCTGAAATCGATAACCCGCTTCTCGTACAAACGCTTAAAGATATTCGTGCACGAGGTCCGTGACTCAGGGGTGTCGTGATGCTGACTTCGCGAAACAGTCACGCTCGACACCTTTTGAGATTCTGTATCGATCACGAGGATTCGGTTGAAGAACCCTTTTCGTGATATCGATTCCAGATAACGCGTAGTAAATATTTAGAGACGATTTTACCATAACGAAGTCTAAACTTCATGTCTTAATCTTTGTAATTTAACTACCATTCTGTAACGTAGAAGAAAGATTTGATTTATTTTTTTCTCTTAACTTTTTCCTAATTTTAGACAGATACTTTTGAAGAGGAAAATTGATACACCAAAGGTAAAAGATCTATAAGAAGGGTCGCGTCACGAATTTTTATGATTCAAAACAAAATTTTGATTTGTCGAGCTTTCAAGCTTTCTCGAAACTGAGATCGTATTACATGGTTTCCCGTGATCGTATACAATGTCTTGATATTGCAAATGAAACTTTCTTAATGCTTATCATGTTCGACATTGCTTATATCTGTGTATTTGGCGCAAAGCTCGACTGCCACAGCGTTCCACAGAAACCGCGGTTCTACGACTGTAAGCAATTTTTGACGTTGCTCACTGTCAGTCGACTTGCGCCGCTGTTACGTCGAATGAAATTAATATGAACCGTTTTGTTTTTAGCGTTCCTTCGTAGACTGTGCGATAGAGCAGCAGCAGATGATTGAAGTGACAACGCGATCGCCGTAATGTCGGCATACATCCGTCGGCAAACTCCACGTCAACGAGGGACACGTCTGTTCGTTATATTCATCATACCATTCATCCCCTGTTAAAAATCATCGAGCGCGCCTAATCACAGCACATTTTTCATATCGACGCGTGAAACAATGAAACACATTCTGAAACAACATCGTCGTTACCATGCCTTTCGACAGAGAAATATAAAATTGTCAATTCTGAAGACCAACAAAATTGCCGCGAATGTAAGGACAATGTAAGGGCTGCTCGCAGGATCCATAGAATCATAGACCTTCGATCAGACTCGATCAGCCTTGCATTGTCGTTAATATAATTTGAACGAGGACGATGTATAATATTTTATGAATATCGTAATATATAAATGTATGTATTAACATTGTACAGAACCGAATGAAAAGATCAATGTTATTTTACTTCTTACTGTTAATTTAATAAACTATACCCCTCGTGTAACGAGGAGTGCCAAAAAAGTCTCACGTTTTCAACAATTTTCCGATGGAATTCGAGGGATAGATAACTTGTAAATTTTACGTCACGTTTTGTGTTGTTTCAAATTTTGTTAAACAATATTTAGAAAGTAATTAGCAGTTTTAGTTTTGTCTGAATTGTGAATTTATTGTATCTTTGAATTTTAAACTCAAACTATTGCATTCTACTAAAGATAGGAGTTTAATAGATTATTTATGGCAGAATTTTGTATGTTATGTTGTTTTATATTAACGCGAATTCAACCGTACACCGAATATAATTTCTCAAATGATATTTCCAGAGTAGACAATAAAATTATATGTTTCAGGTGTATTCGAGAGTGTATGAAATAGCACCCTGCTTTAGGAAAAAAAAAAAACTGCATTTGCCGATACGAACGAACTGAGATGGCACTTCTTGTAGATGCCACCAGAGAGCCTTTCATATCCTATCCTACTTATGCAAAATTTTCATCAGTACCATATGATCCTGCCTTGATTCCAAATGCAATGGGAAATTTATCCGCAGTATGAACATTTTATAATATAAAAAAAAAATCTTTCCCAAGGAAATACTTCTGCTTTTCTGAAATACTTGTTTTTTATCTTCTTTTCAATGAACAACAATGAATTCTGAGAAGGGGAGGAAGTACCCATTCGGTAAGGTAGAGTACACTGTCAACATTACAGAACACTCTGCTCATAAGATTCCGTAATGTAGAGCACACAATCGGTAACATATCTTTATTCAAATGTGTAAAATAAATTATTATTTATTTGCATTCGAATGAATTTTCATCCAATAATATCAAGAACTATATTCATAATTCCTGTATAAAATTCAATTTACTCGTTATCGTTATGTAAACTATTTAAGCAGGCCTCCGTTAAAATAATAATCCGAATAAACCTTAACATCAAACTCTGCTATAGGTGACAGCAACAACTCGACAAAAATAATGCCCAACAAGCGCGGCGGGAGAAAAATCCTACCAACCACAGAAACCTGCACTGAAAAACCTTACATAGAAGCCCCCAAGGGAGGGCAACCAATAGACGCGAACGCACACCGCTCGGAGCGCGGAGGGTTAAATGATCGACGGGGGTTGCGGTCCGTCTGGAAAAAAAAAGGGTGAACGCGCGATGCGCGGATCGCTATCTCCCTGTCTGCGGTGCGGCTACGAGTCCCCGTGTTTACCTGAGAAACGCACGAATGGCAAGAGGTTCGTAAACGCTCGGTGATTTCCGATGCCGAGGCGTGGGGCCTTCGGGTGATCCCGGAAAGCCGGCGGTCGAGTCAGTCAGTTCAAACGCGTCGCAAGTGTCGCGCACATCGTCTTCCGGCTCGATCGCACCGCGTACTCGAGGAAATCGTTTTCTCTCGACATCGTTACGATTCCGATCTCAGGCTGTGACGTTTAATCGCGACGTGCCGCGACGTGTGAACGACGACTGCGTGAAAAACCGGTCGCAGCGAGGAAACCCGACCATCCTCGCCTGTAACGAGAGTGACACGCAGAGTCGTCTAGTCGAAAATGACGGATGTGCAAATGAATCCAAGCAAGGACGTCGCTGACAGCAGATTCCTGAGGAACGACCACGACGACTTGCAGCGAACAGGTTGGTGTTTTCTTAACCGCGCGATTCGCGACGCGAGACTATTTTCGTTTAAACGAGCTTGAACCGCGCAGCTCGTCGCCGGAATACGCGCCTCGCCATCTTGGCCAGCAAGGTGTCAGATATTCGCGTCGTTTTCCACGATCTCTGAAATACGTTGCGTTATTTCCACGTCGAATTCTATGTAGGTACTTGGATAGTTGATGGAAATGATCGCGAATGGGTAGTTAGCGATTTCTTACGCTTCGCGATGGGTGTTTACTCTCGAGTGGAAACAGGCGTGCGAGGGTGTGTGTTTAGTAAGTTTTAAACGGCGGTTTTTAGCTCTGTGATTTATGGATCTATTTGGACAGATTTTATTTTACTTCCTCGATGGTATAGATAACGGAGATTAAGGTAGCTTGTATGACTCCTGGAAGGGTACCTACGAATTGATTATTATTCCTGTCGTTAGGGCGATGAGACGGAGTCTGGGGTGAATAAATTAAAAAGGAATTTCAATTTTCACATAGCTATTGTATTAATAAAAGAGAGTACTCGTCTACGTCGAGTTAACATTATGAAGACTTTTCCTTTTTATAGTTTCGTTAATGTATGTAGCTTATGATCTTTTTATATAATTACGTATTAGAGTATTTAGTTATGATTTTTAGTTTATCTCCTGATAAATATCCGTCTCTTACGGTAAATAAACTGAAACTGAACCTCGATGTTCATACAGTATTTGTACAAACAGTAGAATCATTGACGCGCAGGGTATTGACCTGACTTAGGTAAACACTTTCGGGGATGATTCTACGAATCAAGATGAGAAGCAATCATGAATTATGAAATAGTGTTCCAGGTTTTGTGTCTAAATTATTAATTGATTAATATCTCCTAAAACTAAGATTTTATTAAATTTTGCCTTTATTATATGAGATAGAGAATAAATATATTCGACTTATTTACACACAATTTAATTCTTTTTAAGATTTATTTAAAACATTTCGAAAAATCTTTACATCTCGCGGGTATACATCGTATACATAAAAAGAGAAAGATAACCATCAGTAAACCGTAAAATACATTTCTCCGTTAAAAGACACATTTTTCAAATTTTCCTAAAGTTAACAAATTTTTTACTATAATTTTCATCAATTAATAACTAAAGTACAACGCTTGTGGAGCAATTTCGCCCTCTATAGACCTTGCCAGGGATAGGTCAACGCCCTGTACAATTTAGGAGCTAAGAAGAGAATTTAAACTAATTTTGTATCTGTCAAACGATATGAGCAAATAGTCATGACGTAAATGAATAAAATTTAATAATCAGAGACTCTACGCATTTATTACACGTCACTTATAGGATAGTGCGAAATTGGCTACACCGGATGACTCGTTGACTTGTCAGTATCGCAATCAGTCACTCTTTTTTGCGAAATGACATACTACTATCGTTCAGTCATGTTATAATTGATCGAGTGCGGTAGCGTGCATGGCTGGGAAGATTCACTGTTAATTATTTCTGCCTGTCCGAATGTTAGGTGTGTCCGCAGACTTCTATCTATAAATAATGATTGATATAAATTTAAAGATAAATGTATAGTAAATAACACTCGAGAGTTAATTGATGCACATATTTCGGGTTTCAAAGATGAATTACATGTCGAATTTCTGATCGAAAGAAGCTAATTATTCTCGCTGTCAATTGTATCTGCAATAATAATCGGGCAATTAGGAACTGATCCAACACATACACACGCTGTTTCACACCGAACACTGTACATACAATAGCCTCGGTGTCCGGGGGTATTAGACTCTGGACGATGAGAAAACCTGCGTACAATATTGAATGGTAAGACTGGGAAGTCTTTTAGATGGTGATTAATTCGATGCAAGGCGCTGTCGGATACTCGTGTATAATTAATTTTACACCTCATCTGGTTCTGGATTTCCTTAAATACTGCCAACCACGGCTTACCATACATTCATAATTAAATTCTTTTTTACTCGACAAAGGCATACTTTCTCAATTTTCAAATGTGAAAATATCACTTGTCAGAACTGAACATTGTTATCCTTCACCTTAAATTTTTATTTGCGCGAATGAAAGTCACGATAGCGTAATTGTCAGTCATTTGCAAGGTCGTTTAGCATGTTACAGAATATTTATAGAATACTCGCGTAAATTTCTTGCTACTAACTCGTTAACTAGTTCGCAAACTTTAATTTGGCATACTACCGTTCCTGTAAGCGAGGCATGCTGCCGTCAATTTCCTTGCCAGCCAAACGGGATCGGAAAATCGACTGAAAAATCGACCGTATCGCATACCGGTTAGGAAATTGTCGGGCGTCCAGGAGTTAACAATGTTTTGTGGGCGTGTAATTGCAAAATTGACCGAGCTCACTTCGACGACGTGCTCAAGACCTTAATCGAATGACCCGCACCCTCACCCTGGTCCTCAAATGGTAAACGGTGAACGAACCAACATCCCCAATTTGTTCGTCACTTTTGGAAAATTTTACAAAGGATCCCATTATCTTAATTTTCGTCTAGTCTCAGCACCTGCCAAAGCGATTATTCGAAAATTAAAGTACTTGATTATCGAACAGAGTATCATAATAATTCATCTAAAGAGTTTTCCAACAGGAACCTCGAGATTTCATTTATCAATAAAACACAAACGGTATCGAATATTTTCGATTTTTTTATTTTAAATGAAAGCACAGTAATTACAATCAAATTGTAAAAGGTGATGTTTAAGTGTCCATCGCGACTGTCAAGTTTACCTTGTTGTTGAAAATCAAAATCCTATATTCTTTTTTGGAAAACTTTTTAGTTCCAAACATTTTCTGTGAATGAATCTCTGCAAGCATCCTCGGTTAAATGAATGATTTGTTGAAGTTAATGACGCCACTAATATGCGAATACCTAACGTTACGTGAGTGCTTATCGTTACACGAGTAAGAGGCCAAGGTCCTTCTCGTTACCTACGTTCCGCTTTAAGCCCTGTCGTACCTCGTGATTATTAGAACGATTTGCATCACGCTCTCGCACTGGTCGACTGTTTATGCAACTAAACTATGCCTATCAACGCCAGTTAACTCCACTTCAGTCAATGTATTCCCAAAAATTTTATTCCTTTGCACACTTCCGTTCGTAACGTACTGGCTATTTGTTCGACCAGCTTGGAGAACGCAAATTTATACAGGGATACTACTTTCTGAACGAATCTTCTTCATTTACTCTGTTATATTTGGAAATCATGAAAATGGAATGTTCTAAATATTTGTTTACAAAAGCATAATGAACTTATAAAGTGTTTGTCAGGAAACACGAAATATTTAGTATGATGATTTGTTCTGAATACATCTCCTTTAGTGATAAATTATATAGTTTTTATTTTGGTTGTATTTTGCAGACAAACAGCAAAGCGACACCAAAAGAGATGAATCTTTCCTGCATTCACCTTAGATTACTCGAGAAGTTTTTTAAGATCCATATTACTCCTACGACCAGTTCTGTCCTGTTCAAAGTATTTCTACATATCCGATACCATCTATTACTATGCAGTCTGACAAGTGGACTTTTTCCCCATGTACAACGTTTAGCAAGGTAACCGTGTGGGCAAACACACGACTCCACACTTTAGTAATCCCGATCTACGAGTCGTTAAATAACATTGAAACATCATACGCCGCGAGAAGCTTAGGTTTCGTATACAAACTGTGCTG